TTAGTACTGTAATAAATTTTTTTACATTATACTCATTCTCGTATGTTGTGTTTCATTTCGGGGATTTTTTGGGCTGTCTAATACCGCGGCGCGTACCCCAACATTGGTCCATCGATAGCCGAATTAAAAAAAAAAAAAAAAAAAAAAAAAAAACCGCGTTCACCTAGTATATCGCGTCGTAGTGTTAAGACAGTGTGAAAAAAGTGCTACAAGTGTGAAAAAGAGTGGTAAAGTGACAAAGGACCCTATGAACAGTGAGTACAAAAGACTTAAAAGTGAAACAGTGAAATTAATGAATTAACTCTAAAATTAAAATAGTGATGAAAACTTTAAATTTAAATTATTCTGGAACTTAGCATTTAACAGTGAACATTTTATTATACCTAAAGACTTAGAATTTTTTGTATCACTACTATTAAAGACTATGAAAAGTTTTCAATACTCCTAACAATTTTAAAATTTTACTGCATTTGGGACTTTTAAATATTTTCAGTGGACATTCCATTAACTTAGTTTATTTTACTGATATTTGGAACTTAGAATATTTTGCATTGCATTTCAAATACTTTAAAAATATTCTGTTAATGATATACTTGTGGTTTCTTGTGGATTTATATAAATAAATAAATACATTATTTAAACTATAAAACTATTCTGTTGATGAGATATTTGTGGTTTCTTGTGGATTTATACAAATAAATAGATACATTATTTGAGCTTTAAAAATATTGTGTTAATTCAACATGGCAAATTTAATGAGAACACAAATAGAATTACATAAACAGATAGACAAGACGTTGAAAAACTTTAAGAAGACACCTAAAACTAGATTAACAGAAACATACGCTCAAGTAAAATTAGAAATATTAGAAGATCTATGGAATACATTTACTCAAAATCATAGAACATTAATGATGACCACTGACATTAATATACAGGAATCGGACTATGTAAAAAATGAAATTTATGATTTAACCGAAGACATTTATACTACTGCGAAGTGTGAAATGAAAGATATATTAAAAACATTCTGTGCTCCCAACCCAACCTTAGATGCTAGTCAGAGCACATCTTCACCGTTGAAATCACCTACAGCTATGGCTCCAGAATTCAAACTGCCCCATATCAATATTCCAGTATTTTCAGGAAGGTATTCTGAGTGGATACCATTTCACGATTTATATGTATCGCTCATCCACCGAAATTCAGCACTTATGAATGTGCAAAAATTGCACTATCTCAAGTCGAGTCTGAGCGGAGAGGCAGCATCCTTGTTAAAACACATACCTATAAGTGATGCTAACTATGATGATGCTTGGGCTACATTACAAAAGCGATACAACAACAAACGATTCATTGTTACATCTATACTAAAGAGATTATTGGCACAAAGATCACTATCCACCGAATCAGCAGGATCTATCAAAAATCTGCTTGACACTACAAATGAATGCCTAAATGCTTTAAACAATATTGGAGTGTACACATTGAGTTGGGACGCAATTATAGTCCATATTACTGTTTCAAAATTAGATGCAGAATCCATCCGATTATGGGAACAACAAATCAATCGAGAGGACGACGGGACTAGCCTGCCAACATTCAAACAACTGTGTGGTTATCTTGAGTCTCGTTTCCGTACTCTTGAGATGTTAGAATCGTCAAAGACTACCTCTAAGGTCAATACACGACAGAACACTTTTCACACCACATTCAAAACCACTTGCAAATTTTGTCAAGGAAATCATTTTATATATCAATGCAAAGAATTTGCTCATCTTACCTATACTGATCGCAAACGTTTTGTCGAACAGAATAGATTATGCTATAACTGCTTGATTCCTTTCCATACCGTTGACAAATGTAAACAAAAAACTACGTGTAGAAGATGTGGTAAGAAACATCATTCATTGATTCACCCCGAAGGCAACACTTTAGATCATCTTTCTTCAGATGCAGGAGAAAGTTCACACATACGAGAAAGTAGACAACCTGAAGTAGCTGCAACACCAGTCAATCACAATGTAGCGACCCATCACGCGGACCAGGAAATGACCAAGAACGTGCTGTTGGCCACAGCACTGGTTAAAATTCAATCATCAAATGGGACTACATACTATTTGCGTGCTCTGATAGACCCGGGATCCGAAGGTTCATTTATAACGGAGTCCGCTGCACAGTTCCTCGGATTAAAGAAAACTACAGTCAGATGCACAATTAATGGACTGGGCGAAGATGGCAAAGCAAGTCTCACATCCAATAGCATGGTTACATTCATAGCACAATCGAGATATGATCAGAGTTTTAATATATCAGTACAAGCATTTGTTCTAAAATCTATTACTCGATCACAGCCTGCTCAACGAATATACAAACAGAACTGGCCACATCTGCACAATCTGGATTTAGCAGATCCTCATTTTGACACACCTGGGAAGATTGATATCTTGTTGAGTGCAGAAGTTTACAGCGAGATCCTGAAAGAAGGATTAAGTAAAGGCCCCCGTGGTACAATCATAGCGCAAAATACATACCTCGGGTGGATTTTGTTAGGCCGGTTGCACAATAAGGAGACTATACAAAGCTACAAAGTTACAACTAGTATGCATCTTACAATTGAGGATAATATTTTACAAAGATTTTGGGAGATAGAATCTGACTCTTTTCGTGAAAATGTTCTGACTGAAGAAGAGAGTCGATGTGAGCAAATATACGAAAAGACTTGTACCAGAGACAAAGATGGTAGATACATAGTTAGTTTACCATTTCGAGAAATAGACCCACCTTGTCAATATGGATCGTCCAGAGATGTTGCAAAAGAACGACTATTACAGTTAGAGAAAAGATTTGTAAAGAATCCTGATTTCATGTTACAATATAGTAATGTTTTGAAAGATTATTTAAATTTAGATTTCATGGAAGAGATTGTTGATGAGCATGAGCGACAAAAACCGACGGCAGTTTATATCCCTCATCATGCCGTTGTCAACCCTAAAAAGACGACAGTAAGAGTCGTGATGGATGCTTCGTGTAAATACAAAAACGGAGCATCGCTCAACGATAGTTTGATGGTTGGTCCTCGTCTTCAACCAGACTTACGCCACATCATCCTGCGATGGCGTAGACACAAAATATGTTTAGTAGCCGATATTACTAAAATGTATTTACAAATCAAGGTTGATCACACAAGCTCCGATTATCAACGTCTCCTCTGGCGAAATAATCCTGCAGAAGAAATTAAAGACTTTAGAATGAATAGAGTCACTTTTGGAACTGCTAGCGCTCCTTATTTAGCGACAAAAACACTTTAGCAGCTTGCGAATGATGAAGCAATTAAGTATCCATTGGCATCCAAAATTACCAAAACAGATTTTTATATGGACGACCTATTGACGGGTGCAGACACACTGGAACAAGCTCAAAGGATATATGATGAGATGAATGGATTGCTTGCTGTTGGCAAGTTTCATTTACAAAAATGGAACACTAATGATGCAGATCTTTTGAGTTACATGAAAAGTACCAATAATGAAGTCACAGAGATAGAGTTTCAGTTGGAAGGTACTATCAAGACACTAGGTATTGTATGGGACAGAATCAAAGATGAATTCCAGTACTTGGTAGATATTCCGGATGTGACATCTCCTGTAACAAAGAGATCTATCGCACGAGATGTAGCTAAATTGTTCGACCCAATGGGATGGCTTGCACCCGTCATCATTATTGGCAAGATATTTCTTCAAAAATTATGGCTCACAGGCATAGCTTGGGATCAGGATGTGCCGAGTGAAATATTACATGATTGGCTCAAGTTTAAGGAAGAATTACCTTCTCTATCTAATATTACTGTAGAGAGATGGTTGCACACCACTAGCACAAATACCAAACTGGAACTCTTTGGATTCTCAGATGCTTCTACTGTAGCATACGGGGCTGTAGTATATGCAAGAGTTACAGATTCTGATGGTAAAATTCACATTCATCTAATTTCAGCTCGAACTAAGGTGGCTCCGGTAAAAACGGTATCCCTGCCACGCTTGGAGTTGTGTGGAGCAGTCTTACTGACTCGACTACTCATTGAGATTGCAGAACAACTGAACATTGCAAAGGAATATATCTATGCATACACGGACTCGAGTGTTGTATTGTCATGGCTACAGAGTCATCCAAGCAAATGGAAGACATTTGTTGCAAATAGGACTTCTGAGATAATAACTTCTTTGCCTAGTCACCATTGGTATCATGTGGCATCTAAAGAGAATCCCGCCGATTTGGCGTCTAGAGGGGTTACTGCATCTAAATTAAAGGAACAAAACTTATGGTGGAGAGGGCCAGAATGGCTAACAAAAGGAATTATAGAGCATAAGATGACAGAGCCAGACTTAAAAGAAGCTGAAGTAGAACAGAAGGTAGTAAAAGTTTTAAAAACTCAGATTGATGACAATTTTTCACAAATATTTACACGGTTTTCTACACTGACTAGACTCCAGAGGGTCATTGCAATCTGTAAACGATTCAGACATATAAAGACGAACAAGTTTCCTAGTTATCTTACAGTTGAAGAATTAAATAACGCTTTGATGACTTGCATCCTTATATGTCAGTATGAAGAGTTCTCCATAGATATAGATTATTTAAAGGAAAACAAAGCTGTAAAGAAATGCAGCAAACTACGTTCTCTTACACCGTTTTTAGATGAAAACGGAATGTTAAGAGTAGGAGGTCGTTTACGTCATGCTAATATTCCCGAAGAAGCTAAACATCAAATAATTCTACCTGATTGTCATCCTGTATCCAAACTGATTGTAGCAGATGCACATAAAAAGACCTTGCACGGTGGTCCAACCCTCATGTTAAGTTATTTGCGGCAAAGGTATTGGATTCTTGGTGTTAAGAGAATGATCAAACAAGAAGTACACCGATGTATTATCTGTACGAGATATCGTGCAACAGTTAATAATCAATTAATGGCCGATTTACCCGAACAGAGGGTTACACCCACAAGAGCTTTTTTACATAGCGGCGTAGATTTTGCTGGTCCTATTGATCTACGTATATCAAAAGGACGTGGATGCAAAACTTCTAAAGGATATTTATGTATATTTATATGTATGTCTACAAAGGCTATTCATATTGAAATTGTAAGTAGTTTAGAGAGTGCTGATTTTATTGCGGCCTTTAAACGATTTACCGCTCGGCGAGGACACTGTCGCCATATGTGGAGCGATAATGCCACTAATTTTATTGCGGGTAACAAAGAATTGCGAGCATTATTAAAAGAACAATTAGACACTTTAAATGGAGAAATTTTGGATATGCTTGCCAGAGACGGCACTGAATGGCATAACATCCCACCAGCTGCACCCCATTTCGGGGGTTTATGGGAATCTGGAGTGCGTTCTATTAAATTCCATTTAAAAAGAATTATTGGCAATTCCACACTGACGTATGAAGAGATGGCTACGGTTACCAGTCAAATTGAAGCCTGCTTAAACTCTCGTCCCATATCGCAGATTAGTGATGAGATTAATGATTTACAACCTCTAACACCCGGCCATTTTTTGATCGGGGAGCCGCCAATTGTAGTACCGGAAAGATCTTATTTAAATGATAATATAAATAGGTTGAGCCGTTGGCAATTAGTACAGAGGATGGTGCAACATTTTTGGGATCGATGGGCTCGCGAATATTTAAGCAGACTTCAACAGAGGCCGAAATGGACAAAGAGGCACGACAATGATGTTAAAATTGGCGATCTTGTTATCGTGAAGGAAGAAAATTTGCCTCCCGGGAAGTGGTCCCTCGCCAGAATAATTAACGTACATCCCGGAGATGATGGCTTGATTCGTGTAGTTAGTTTAAGATGTAAAAATTCTGTAATCAAACGTCCACTCACCAAGATCTGTCGACTTCCAATTGACAGCTAATTTTGTAATTAACAATTATTGTTTCGCTAGCATTTTAATAGTGTTTAATTATAATTCATACGGTTCTTCACGGTGGGCGGTTATTGGAAGGACGATACGTCCTTGGTGGGCGGAATGTTGAGAGCGCCACTATTTATAAATTGATAGTTTATACCCTTTTATATATATGTTGTATTTGTACTTTACAAATGGTTTATTTAGATTTACTTAATGATTTGTGTGGAGATACAATTATTCTGATTTAATTCTAACGTTCATACTAGATGGCGCTCTGTTCTAAAACACGCTATAATTTAATTCCCTGAAAACCAGGTTATAGCATTGTAGATTTGAAATATTTAGTACTGTAATAAATTTTTTTACATTATACTCATTCTCGTATGTTGTGTTTCATTTCGGGGATTTTTTGGGCTGTCTAATACCGCGGCGCGTACCCCAACAATTACGGTAACTCGTTACGAACTAATTTTGCCTCTATGGGAATTTATTTGACCGATTAGAGCCTGTATTGCCTTGTTATATGTTTTAGCCATGCCACGACGCTAGCCATACTCACTACGCCGACTTACAGTTCAACATATTACCAGCCAATAATGGAATCAGTACTCAACCAAATGAGCCCGTTCGTACGACGTCCGAAAGCCCGTATTCAGAAATAGTCGGTGTCATAGAGCCTACAATAAGAGTGCGTGACAATTAAATACATTAAAATTATGATTTAAAAAATAAAATTATGTACCCAAGAAGGTTTTCGATTATTTTAAAATTAAGTCAAACGCAATGTGTCATTTTTAATTTGCAGAAAACTATAGTGTAACCGTGTCAAATGGGGGGAAAGAGACTACCCCTGGAGACTAGGAGGGAGAAGAGATTGTTATAATGAGGATTAGTAACCCCATTACTAGCAATTATTACCCCATTACCCTGTCAAGTTTACCTACGCATGGTTCCCCCTGAAAACCATCGTGTTCCATTCCATGTGAATTCATCACGATGAACTAACTGATCTGCCTTTTCATATTCACCTATCGTACCTCACTGGTACTCTGCCAGCGTATACCGTTAGCACAGGCAGAATTTTCAAACCCCTAGAAACTTTCGAGAATCATTCTCATCACGATAGGCCAATTGACCTGCTTTTATCTCACCGGTGCCCTACCAGCAATACTATAACAATAATATAATAACGTAGGCAAGATAGCTATTCTAATTTCATTCATTAAAAAGTAATATCCTGTTAATTTCTTTCATTCAAAATACAATCATCTACCCAAGCCAAAAAATAACAAACAAACGAATATACACTTTTTGGGTTTTACAAATAAGTAGGTAAATGGTACGTTCTAATTGTAATGTTTAATCAGATGCATTTATGCTTATCAACTTTAAGCTTATCCTTTTATATAACTACAATCATATTAAAATCGTCTTAATTAAATAGACAAAGCCTTCTATTTGTGATACTACAGCGGAACTATTGTCCAAAAACATAATTAAAACCCTTGTAATGGCAAACGGTGAGCTAATGAATTTATTAAAATTAGGAACATTTCATATGGAAACGAACGATGGTGCTGCCTCTGCAGAGCGAATTAAGAACTAAATTTCCATTTTGAATGGGTTTGTACATATATATATAATTTTTAAACTAACAATTAGGAAGCAATCCTACTACATAAACTCCACGTCATACTACTATTTTTTTATTTTTTAACAATCAATCCGATTATAACTATTTGACTTAAATTTTTATTTAAGCTTGTAAGACCCTACAGGGAGGTACATTTACAATTTTTATAAAGTGAAAGTAAATAATATGTTAATAGTTGATAGTGCACGAAGTACTTATTTATTATTTTTGTTCATTAATATCGTCTATAGCATACTATAAACATAGATTAAGTATATACAAGATAGTCGTACGAATAAGAACGTAGTTCTCTAAGTAGTCTGTGAAGATAATACCTTTGGTGTATATAATGACTTAACTGTGGTATATAGTCTAAGAACAAGAAATTACATAGAAGGAAAGATAAAATAAAAACATTAAATTATATGGTTGCCTCCTTTCTTCTTATATAAACATAATTAGTAAAAAGAAGACGAAAGAGACCATCAATTGCTATTTTTCTCAATTCATAGTAGGCTAGTTTATAGTAAGTCTGAAAATATTTGTTAATTTACATTATTAGATTATTAATTCGACACAGTTTATGTAGAAAGTATGTAAGCAGGTTATATTTGAATTTGGTAGGGTTATATGGACGTATAACATTTTCTATTTTACAGTTCTTAAGTATATAGTCTATTGCTTTGCTTCTGGTTTGTCGATTACTCTATGGTTTTGCATTGTCTATTTTTTGTTCATCGCACGCGGAAGTGAATAGAAATACCGATTTCCTTTTCCTATAGTTAATTTTCAAAAACATCAACTAGACTTTAAAATAATAATTATTTTACTTTTGTTACTAAGTTTCAGTTTTAGTTGTGTATATAGTGGTGTTTTCTTATTTAGAGTTCTTCAAACAATGGAAGTGTTCGGTGATATATTAAATGTACGCTCTGTAAAAATGGAAAATTCAGAGAATGGATTCGACGAGGCTCCCGGCGAAGAGTCATCGGATCCTCTAGCTATGATACCACAATACGTCACCGAGAGTGATTTAGGTAGGTTAATTGCACTGTATCGCCAATGATACCCAAGATTCCAAGGTTCCAATGTCCATCCTTGTATGTATACTCGCCAACTTTCCGGTAACATCATATGTGATTTCTGCGTTATTACTTATATATTTCAATAGTTATTTATACTTCAATTACTGCTACCAAATCAATCAGTTTTATTTTGTAACTGGCTACTATTGTATAACTGTTTAAAACTCCTTGGAGTATGTCATTGGTGAAGTTTGGAGTCAGTGGATAGCACTGCGCGCGTTGTTTTCAATTTGAAAAAGACACAATAGGTGGGATCCAAGAATTTTTCAGGAGTGGTCACAATAAGAATATGTTGATTTTATTAGTACACCAGACATCGTGGAACATATAGTACCATATGTTCTATGATTTCTGGTGTACATGTTCTTAAGCAACAATTACCATTTCACTACCTGTAAACTGTATGCCACAAACTGACTATGTATGAGTACCTGTTTTGCTTTTATGTTTAGTTATGCATGCATGGTTGTCTTTCGGCTTGAAGCATTGTGGCTCTCTAATTATAGAGTACAGAAACATCTTAGATTGAGGGGTAAGGTATTTTTAGTAATGTGGCCTTACATTCCCATAGATAGCAACATATCAAGTTGACTTCTATGCAACTCTCTCTGGAAAGCATTGTCATTGACTATTCTTTAATTTGTCACTTTGGACCAATTGATATGTTTTCACCTATAATCTCTCACTGGCACTCCACTAGCTTATAACTATAGTGCAGACAGCATTACCATTTTGCCTGCACTTATTACAAAAATAAATTCTTAGACCAAGGGGAGAACAGAGAGTATTGAGGATTAGCAACACTATTGCTAGCAATACATCCTACTAGATCAACTTTCACGCTGATCTGCCTGGAAAACATTGTGCTTTATTGTTGTTAAATTTGTCACTACAAGCTGATTAACCTGCTTTCATCCTCACCTATCATCTTTCACTAATACCCCTCTAACATATATATCAATAGCATAGGCGAGGTTAGTACTCCATTATCGCCCAGAACAAGGGCAATAAATGTTATTGGTTAACTCTGATCCCCCTGTTACATATTTTCTTGGGTTTCCCCATGTGGATTTCAATTTAATATTTGAAGATGAGTACGTAATGTGAATATTTTCAAAGAATGACTGAAAACAAAAGCAAAGTGTGAGATGATCCATATCATAAACAAATGTCAAAAGTGACAATACAGAGATTGTTTAAGAAACATATGATGCATACTAAACAATCCTTTCTAATTATAATTTATGACACCCCCCTCCCCCACTTTAGAATGTGTTCCAAAAAACCTGACTTCAATTGTGACAAAACCAGTTATTATTATTTAAAAACTAAAGTACTGAAATGATTTTGATAAAATTTCTATGTGACCAATCTGTAAATATATCCTTACAGATAAAAATAAGAATTTTCCAAATCAGTTTACAATTGATGGAGTTATGAAGTAACAAAAATAAAAAAATAACCAAATTGAAAACTTTTGAAAACTAAATAATGTTTCAGGTTTAATACAATCGGGCACTGAAATTCTACAGACTCCATTGACAGTATTTTCGGATACACCAGATGAAGATGACACCATGCAAAGCAATGATTCAAGTGGTGAGTATATAGTACATAGAGACACTCTTTAACTGATAAAAGTTTCCCATTATTTGTATTTAGTACAAGTCATAGTTTTTGCCTTGCAAAAAGGTTAAAAGAAATGACACATTGGAAGTTTAGCTGAAACTTTAAGAGTTGTTATTATTTTAAAGTTTAACTTTGTTACACATATTTTAAATTCACATATTTGGTCCTGCTGTGACCACGACATAGTGCTATCCATATCGCAATCTCAGCAAACAAAACAAGTATTATATATTTATTAGGTACTATTTACTGGTAATGACATCATGTTAACTCTTTGCGCTCTGTTGTCTCCGCTACGGAGCTGTCAGTCATTTGTTCCTTAACTGCGCAGGCTCCGTTGCGGAGCCCAATGTTTTTATAATGAATATACATAAGATGTTACGAAATTGTTGGCGATGGCAATTGTTATCTGTTGTTAAAACGTTCTCAGTCTTTTTACTGTTAGGATTGAATAATTTTTTTACCCATTTTGCTGTTAGCAGTATGGAGAAAAATAATTATTGTGATGAGAATATAGATTTGAGTGATATTGAAGATGTGTTGGTTTTTCCGATGTTAGAAGATATTGTGGAAGACAATATTGATTATAATTCTGACACTTCAAGTATTGATTCCGAAATTATACTACCAAAGAGATGACGAATGATAGTTATTGAAAGTGAAAGCGAAGAATCGCAGGAAGAATTAGTTGACACTTGCCAAAGTAAACCGAGAATGCACGTGGGAGATTGTTTCGAAAGGTATCACACCATGGTGAATTATAAAATTTAAAATTTATCTCTTATTGACAAGAAGAGACTGCAAATGTATATAATAAATAAAACCTCATACATTTACAAGCACGTGTAATTTTTCTCACTTAAAATAAGAATCCTTCTTTTCGCTCGTTTCGCTGCGAAAATGTGCCGGAGTTGCTGGTAGGCTGAGGAACAAAAACATGCGGAGCGCCAAGGGTTAAGTCTTAATCGTGAATTTCAAATACTTGAAGTTTCCTATAATGAATTTAATTAGTATAAATTGAATCATATCAGATCAGGATTAGTATGACATAATCTGTACTAAAAAAACTAACAGTCTGTACTAAAAATTATCCGGATAATATATTATAATCCGGATTTATGTCCAATTCTTTTACTGTCACCGCTATCAGCCTTTGGAATAAAACCCCTGTAGATCTACGCAGAGCATCAAGTAAAGATATTTATAAAGGAGGACTTTTTAATTATTTGTTGAGTCAACAAAACCAGCTCTAGTTACAGGTTACTCAATAGTTATTATATCTCATAATGCTTATCGTTGTTTTAATTTATGTATATATATATTTTTCACCACATCTGCCCTTCATACGCTTTCTGTTTTTACCCAATGGTAGAGAATGCCATATGGCATTAAGCTCGCCATTTGTACAAAATTTTATTGTGCAATAAAGAATAAATAAATAAAATAAATTGTTGTGTTATTAAAAGTGTTTGTTTGTGTTATTAAAAGTGGTTGTTTGTGTTATTAAAAGCAATTAAATTTATTTCCCTCCAAACAGAAGAGATGGTGGTGCAACTGATGGACATTCGCACGCGTTTGTCGAAGCTGCGCGCAATGTTGGAGAGGCGACTCGGTACTGACCTCTCTGACTACACCTTCTGGCTGCAGGATGCTAAAATGGTGATAATTTCTAGAATGTTATTATTGGTGATGGATGGATGGATCTTTGTTCCACTTTCATGCAATAACTACTAAAGGGATTTTAATGAAATTTGGTACATTGGTAGATTATATCCTAAATCACATATGATACTTTATGTACTGATTCACCAGGATATTGCCACTAGATGTCTAGTATAAAGTATGCATAATTTTTATTAAGTACTTGTCTCATGTGAGTGTCGTGAACCATCTGAATTAATGGGAGTTTCACTATTACCGAGTTATTTATTCTTATTTTACTAGCTTTCACTCACTAGTTCGTACACATAGATTTCAGAGGTAGGAAAACCAATGAATAAACCATTTCTAGATGCAGTGCAATGCAAGATAAAACATAATCCAGATTTTAAGTTAAATCTTCAGGAATATTACTGAAAATCGCATTTAATTGGTGCAGTAGTTTTTTCGTGATGTCAGAACAAACATAAAGACACATAGACAAAATTTTTAAAAATAATAGTTTTGAAATCTTATTAAGAGTTCCCTTATTAATTTTCTTAAATATATATATCGCCGTGTGTGCCCCGGCATAGAATGGGTCACCCCTTCCTTTTCCATAGGTGTTGTAAGAGCCGACTAAGGATGGGCGGCAGCGACTCTCTTACAACATCTCTAAAAGCCTAATTACGGTTACCAACCCGCCTGTCAAGCGTGGCAACTACTGGCGAAACTCCCCTTTTGGGGAAGGCTTATGTTCAGCAGTGGACAGTTAAGGGATGAAATAATAATAAATTATATATAAAGATATGGTTTGGTTATAATTAGTAAGATTTTACGTTGACGTTACGAATGAACAGTTGGAGAATCACAAGACATTGGTGGAGCAATGCATCCGCGGCGAAGGTGTAGTTCAAGTAAATGTTCAGGTGCGCCCCGCTGACCGCAAAATCAATATTCTGGACGTGCTGAAGCCAGATGAAGAGCTGGTGCAAATTCCCAACGAACTTGACGATCAATGTGAGTCTATTGTTATGGTCTATTTTTGCTAGATCTGTTACGAGATAAATGGGGATAAACTAAATTAGTTATTCAATTTGTAGTGACTTTGTTCTTGTTCATGGTACATCAAGATTCATAATTTGTTTTATACTCGTAAGTGTATAATGAATGAATGGTTTATTTTCTCTTCACAAAAGGTAGTATAAAGAGACAACTTGATGTACAATTTGACATGAAGACCAATTTTGAGAGAGACTGGTGCTTGCGGTAGATTTTGAAAAACCTGTGTTACAAGTCACCAGTGCCCCATCTCCATGGACTACACAAATACAAGGCAATTAATTAGTGTTCACAGATAACAATAATGAGATATAAAGTGCAAGAATAAACTTAACATTAAAACTTATTTCTAATAATTATTATTTATATATAACTTAGGCAAAGTTAATTACAAAACACAAACTATGTGTGCGTGTGCGTGTGTCTCTGTATGTGTAATAAAATAATATTATGTCGTCAATTCATGACTTGTCACGATTCAGTTTTTATGTAAAATATGTTTCGACTACCTCAGTGATACAGCGATAGGCACGATACTTTACATAAAAGGTTTAATCTTGGTCAGGCCAATTAAGGAAAGTACTTTTTAAATTGCCATGTGGTCCCTTCATAGAATGGGCCACCCACTTCCTTTCCCATGGGTGTCGTAAGAGGCGACTAAGGGAATTTAATGGCCCAGGGATGAGCAACAGTGTCCCTCTTAAAACATCAGCAAAGTCTAACTGTCGTCCCAATCCGCTTACCAAGCGTGGCAACTGCTGATAAACCCCTTAATGAGGAAGCCTATTTCCAGCACTGAACCATTAACGACTTATATAATGATCCTTATCTAAATTGGCTTAACTCTGTGTGCCCCGCCCTATTGACCTACTATTTGTTAGCTAGTTTCTCTTAACAAAGTATCCTGATTTGAGAACCAGAAAATTGGTATGATTATGTGACTTATTCATTTATTCGTAATTGGCAATATATCATAAGGGATTGTTGAGGATTGTTTGTAAAAATGTGATTTTTACTTTTTGTAGATATCGAGCTGGAGGAGCCGATGGTGGAGGATACGGACGAAACGGGAGTGGAGGCGGCGGCAATAGCAGGAATGGTATCGGAGACGGGGACAGATGTCCCCCACGCGGCCACTGTCAAGTGGGTAGTGGACGCGCAGTTCAAGAGCGATCACCGCGTGAAAGTGCCCGACGACCCAGCGCAATGGTTGGTCTTATTACTTGTACTTTATTATTATACATAATGCACAGATTTTTTTATTAATTACTAACTTTTGCCGGTCGGAATCAGTATAGTGAAAAGCTAGTGTCCTACTTGTATATATTTATAGAATATTTATACATATTATTAACCTGGCGCTGTACCACGTTTCATGCAATCCATTCAGTTGTTTAAGCATTACTAAATAAAAAATATCCAATCTTTATAAAGATTATGGTTATAATAATAGCAAGATCAGAACTAGCTTCTACCTAAAGCATTTTTTAGAAAGGGGGGGGGGGGTCGGATAGGTCTCACAATGCGTGTGATTGTACATTCAACGTCATCGTATCTACTTTTAACTGTCCACTTCTGAACATAAGTCTCCCCCAAGGGGGGTTTTGCCAGTAGTTGCCATGCTTTGCAAGCAGGTTGGCAACTGCAGTTAGGCTTTGGAGACGTTTTAAGAGGGACGCTGCAGCCCATCCCTCGCCCTGCCTTTGTCGCCTCTTACGACTGTCATGGGAAAGGAAGGGATGGCCTATTCTATGCCGAGACCACACAGTAACTGGAACGGCACTGTATATTGCTTGACTGATATAAAGCGATCTTATTTAAATAAGTGTATTTCTCCAAAATTGGTTGGGTCATTAAGGTGCTAAGAGGTAACAAGCAAACTCAATTTTAGCTAGATAGATAAAAGTGAGTTTGCTGTGTAGTAGCGATATAGATATCTCGCTCTAACATATGTGCTGCTACATATTTTTCTCTTTTATATTGCCTATATATTTTATTTTATATATGTATGGTTCCAGGTCAGTGCAACACGTGAAGCTGTGGGTGGTATGGGCTGTGCGGCAGTTCAACCTGGCTGGCGTGCGGCTCGCTGACTGGCAGCTGTCGGGTCCCGAGCTGTGCGCCCTTACCAACGCGCAATTCAAGTGCGTGTACTCATTTCTAGTATAACATTACTAGTTTTCAACAACTTCAAAAAGAAGGAGGTTCTCAATTCTGTTGTATTTGTTTTTAAGTTTGTTACCTCACAGCTCTGTCAGTTCTCTCATATCTCTTCATATCTGAAACGATATATTTATAGATTTATCTGATAGCAATTTTATCAAAATCGCTTCAGTTATTTAGTGTTTAAATTAAACTAACTGGTTTTATCACAATTGAAGTTGAATTTTTTGTGGTACACTATTTTTTTATTTACCAATATTTGTGTTACCGTGATACGTCGATTGATCATGATAAAAAGTAGTTTGTCCTTTTCAATCCTTAACACTACTGTGTTTAATGACTATTGTTTAACTTGTTAAGACACTAAGAGCTTTTTTTATAGATGATAATGAAATAGTAACCCCACCCGCGCTATCGGTATACACCGGTGGGGCATCAGTGACGGATGATAGATGAGAATGAAACAGGTCAGTTAGCCCATCGTAACGAATTCAACGAGAATTGTTCACGATGGTTTCCAGGGAGAACCTCGTGGAGGTTAGAGCATATTGCTAGCAATGGGACTGTCAAACTCCATTGTTAACAGAGCTAACAAACTAACAAGTTCACTTTCGTGTTTATTATATAAACACGAAAGTGAACTTGTTAGTTTGTTAGTGATACATCTTATACCCGCGACTTCGCCTATGTGACCGGGGTATGTTTGCAAACCGGTATAAAGATTAGCCTATATCCTTCTTCATCTCATATAATATGTGTATACCAAATTTCATAGTAACCGGTTAAGCCGTTAACATGCTGTAAGGTAACAAATAAACTCAGTTCTCTTATCGTTTTGCAATATTTTTTGTCTGTCTTCTGTCTAAGCACCCTACAACAAGTTACAATAATGAAAATAGGCTTACAATACTTTAGCAAAATCATATTGACATATTTTTTACTGTCATGTACATAGTTTATGCACTATTATTGTGTATGCAAATAAAGCTATTCAGTTTTCAAAATATTGTTAAATGAAAAATTAAGTATGTAGTTTCAGCAGACGTCGTTCTGTCAAAAGCTATTTTTTTTTTTCTAATGGATGATAATGGAATGATAGCCCCGACTGCGCTAACGGTATACGCTGGCAGGGCACCAGTGAGGGATGATACGTAAGAATGAAACCACCTGATGATGATGACCATGGGGAGGTCGACCTGTTAGGGTATTGTTAGAATTGGGAGTAGTAATCCGCATTACTAACAATCCCTCCCCCCCTCTCCCTGTCAAAAGTTATTGTACTGTAACAATCCATTTACAAATACTTTTTATAGTAAAAAAAAAAAATGTAGTTTTTACGTATTTCCGAATATTTTTTTAAAAGAACTTCCCTTTTCATTAATGAATATTGTTATGTATTTATTAGAGATGTCTAATGACAGTTGATATTTGGTGTAATGAGGGTGATTAAATCGAGTTTTGCTTTAGCGATTCATGTTTCTTTATTGGCGACGAAGTAAATATATTGTGAAAATGGCAGCAACTGTTTCAAATATTGTGTTTCCTGGAAATTCAACCCAAAGACTGATAAGTGGTGTGATTATAAGAACAGTTAGTGCGCGCTCGACGCGGCGGGCGTCGGTGAGGATAACCTCAATAGGGGCCGATCACTGTTCCTTTCTCAATGTGGAAAAGACACTTTTGCATTAATTGCATCGTTCCACCTACAGAAGTACCTTTAGTGGAAATTTTGATTCTAGATAGGTTTTTCGAACCAGAAGTTAACGAAATTCTACAGGCGGGAAAATTTCACAAACGACAACAGTTACAGGGAGAAAGTGTACAGGACTTGTATCAGCCAGCTCGGAGCTAAGTGCAATTTTATATTGGAACGCCAGTTGAGAGACCGACTAGTGCTGGGGGTGCGGGATGATCGCTTTTTTGAAAAAGAATTAACTTTTTGCACTACAAACATGTCTGGACTATCAAACATTCCCTGATTTGTACCCTGCCAGTACGTCTAGCGAATCAAAGCAAACTCCGTTAAACGTCACCGATTGTGAACCTATGGACATTGGCATTGTAAAATCTAATGAATGTCGACGGTGTACGCGGTCATTTTGTCCATTTTGGAAAGCAAAATGTTTCTATTTGTTCACATCGTTTTAATTGCACCAGGTTAACGAGACTGTTCAATAATATTGATGGGGATCTATGTTTTTACTGATAATTATCACCACCAATAACGACAGAGGTCATAATAGACATATATAAGACATCATCACGGACCATTATGTCATATAAAAAGCTCTGCACACCTCCACCGTTAAGTGCCACTACTTTGAATTGATGGACTAGAGACCCAATAAAAGTGTTGGGAGTAGCAAATGTGCGGGTTATATTAGCGAACAAGGAAGCACAGTGTGAACTTGTAATGTCAGCCAAATCTGTTAGGCAGGAATTGGTTCCAAACACTAGGACTTCAAGGTCTGGTTTGTGCTGGTCGGAAGAGGATATAATACTTTATAAAAGGGAATTTCCTGAATTATTTAAAGAAGGATTGGGGGAGTACAAGGGCCCTAAAATCGTTACACTTACGAAAGACGCCACGCCGCGTTTCTTAAAGGCTCGCGCGGTACCATACCCACTCAAACAGAAAGTGATTGAAGAACTGAATAAGATGGTAATAGAGGGCGTGCTAACACCTATTCGATATTCGAAGTGGGCAACACCATTGACACCAGTGATAAAAGATGACGGGACAATACGGATGTGTGGCGATTATCGTGTGACAGTAAACACCGCGATAGATACAGACACGTACCCCTTCCAACAGCAAATTTTGTAAATTGAATATTCAATTAGATTTAAAGCAAGCGTATAGAAATGATGCGACTGCAATGCTGTTAACACTCAACACTCCAAGTGGTTTAATGAGAATGAACCGTTTACCGTTCGGTGGTCAATGCGGCGCCATGGTCAACGCCTGATGTCAACTTGCATTCCTCGCCTGTTTAACACAAACGTATCCACCATTGAAGAACACAATCACAGACTTAGACATCTAAGTAAATTGCAAGAAATGGGATTTCGATTGAATATTGTTTTTCAGTTAAACATGATTGATGAAGGCCTCCACCCGGCACCTACGAAGGTAAAGTTCAAGAAAAACCGGCTCCAACTAACAAAGAGACGTTGCGAGCCTTTTTGCCTATACAATTTCTTTTTTACCTGATATGATAATTAGGCCATTATATAGACTATTAGAATCAAAGAGACCCTGGAGCTGGGGAAGAAAGAACGGTAATGAGGCAAAACGTTTATTGTCATCGGATCTCACATTGGTGGGATATGATTTACAAAAAGAATGTTCTCATCTGTGATTCTTCAGAATATGGAGTAGAGCGATTATTGCCCATGTGATGAAAGACGGATCTGTTTTGGCCGCGCACATTGCAAGCTCATGAGAGACGATACAAATTGATAAGGAGGCACTAGCAATTATATTTGGATTGACCAAATTTCACGAATTTTTAGCGTGTAAATTTTGTATAGTTACAGATCACACCACTGGTAGGGTTATTCAATCCGCAAAGCCATACCTGAACAGATTTCAGAATGTTACGTTGGTCACTTAAACTCGGCTATGACTATAAACTTTGGGAAACTAATTGGCAACGCGGATGCTTTAAGCAGATGGACCGCTACGGATACATCCAGTGTAAAGAAGGAAGTGTCTGGTGATCTGCTTCTGTTAGAAGAGCAGTTGAGCCGAGGATTTCTAAAAAGGATATGGTGCGCAAAAAGTTGATGTTCCATGTTTTACACGGCTGGCCACGCAAGAATACAGATTCAAGTTTACAAGCTTATTGGTCAAGAAGATCTTTCACATAATAATGACTGTTTATTGTGGTGTAACAGAGTAATAATACCGTTTGCTTTTGAAGTTGTTACAGCGTCAAAACATGCAAGAGGCTATGTTTGGTGGGTAGACATGGATCATAGAGGGCTGTCTTAGTGGCCCTCAATCTTGGATTGTTTATAATGTGGACTTTGTTTCCAGTTTTTATGGACAATGGTTTGAAGCCGTTATTGAATAGCGGGACAGTGATAACGGTGCTAAGGAAAATTTTTACTTCACAAGGACTTACTAGTTTCAGATAATGGACGCGCATTTACCTCGCAAGAATTCAATAATTTCTTAAAAAAGAATGGAATTAAACATTTGTATTCCCCACCTTACCACCCAGAAACGAATGGGCAGATAGAACGTGCATTCAAACATTTAAAAATAAAATGAAGAAACTTGAAAGCCAAATATACAATGGCAACAAAAATTGTGTAAAGAATTATTTAAGGACAGTTCCTAATAGTTCCACTAACAAAACGCCAGCGGAACTACTCAATGGGCGGAGATATAGAACGGCAGTTCAGTACCCTGTTCGATGCCTCTTCCAGCAACGTGAAGTGGCCACAGCACCGGCCCACCCGTCGCAGTGAATCAACCAGTACTGATACACATGTACGGGCCAGGAGAAAAGTGGCGCAGAGCCACTGTGGATAGAGGGGCCAACGACTTACAGGGTGAAAACGGAAGATGGAGAGTTACATCGCCGTACTGACCAAATCTTGGCCAGACCATCAGACATGACATGTCGCCCATCTGAGTTAGACAGTCAACTCATGAAGGATTCAGATTCAGAATTGACACCGGATTCCCCCATATTGATTCCACCGCCTGATTTATGGCCAGATATTATAGGAATACCTAATTAGCATTTCATTATTGTGATTGTCAATTTTAAAATATTATTATGTATCTATTGATTTGTAAAATAGAATCATTGCTTTGTAAACCAATCAATATGAGAGAAAGGTTGTTATGTATTTATTAGAGATGTCTAATGACAGTTGATATTTGGTGCGCTGAGGGTCAGTTTTGCTTATAATCTCAACTTGGATGTATTCTTTAAATATTAAAAAAAAATTGCAGAATTGGTTCAACTACTTTCGAGTTTTTCGCACATTTAGCGATTCATGTTTATTTATATAAATAAATGAATTGTTTTTAGCTCGGACCCCGGGGTTTATTCTGGACACATTTTGAGTTACTGCGCAAATGTATATTGGTAAGTTTGTTGCAAATTCGATTCCTATGCAATACTTTAACAAATCTTTTATATTTGATATGTATCGAGTGTTTTTGATTATTTTAATCAAAAACACTCGATACATATCAAAGTAGAGTAATATTATTATATAGAAAAGCATTTACTGCGCAATTTTCATTGCCTATTTGTTCAAGATTTAATTGCCACGAACTGTTCAATAATATTCGTTCACCTTTGTCCAATACTATATATATAAGAACTCATTCATTGCCTGCAGCTTGGAAAATGATGAACCTGTGGAGGTATGCGGTAATTGTCTAAAAATTATTAAATATCTTTAGGAACGATACAAAATAGATGCGACAGGCGAGTGTGTGTAGCATGCATTTTGTGCTGAAGACATCTAAAGCGTAAAAATGAGTACGTTGCTTTGCGTAAATTAGGACCCTGGTTCGAAAATTGTACAATGGCAATTTAGAAAATGGAAAGTAAGCAAAGTGTTTGGAGTAGTGCCCCCAGATGGTCATTGCCTGATTCCTCTTAACACAAAGTATCCTAACTTAAGGACATCAATAACGTATTTCTTAATATTATTTTTCAGGGAGGACTTTTTTCGTTAATAAAGACGCATATGTTTCTTTTACTGTGTCATGTTTTTGCCTATAATTTTTTTTAATCTATGGTAATGGAAAAGTAACTCCGCTCGCGCTAAGGGTATACGCTAGTGGGACACCAGTGAGGGATGTTAGGTGAGAATGAAAAGGAGGACCACGTGGAGGTCGATCTGACAGGGCATATTGCTAGTAATGGGACTGATAGTCCGCATTACTAACAATCTCTTCCCCCTATTGCTTATATTGAAAGATTCGCTCACATGTTGGAGTGAACACCAGACAATTCTGAGGTAGACACGGCCCACTCATCCGCGCTTTAAATGCGCCTATTAAATATTTGTGTGTATTCAGGCGGGCGTGGGCGTGCGCGGTGCTGAGGATGGGGGTCCAAGCGTGACGGCACGCAACGGCAACAACGGGCAGGTGCAACTGTGGCAGTTTCTGCTCGAGCTGCTCACCAGCGCGCAGTACTATAACCTCATACGTTGGCACGGTATGTCGTCTCCTTTTGACCACTCCACTCGGATTTACGCTCCGCACACACACGGGTGCGCATACACCTACACACGTACGCATACACACAGAGAGATAGAATACACGCACAGTTTAATAAACAGACATAGTTACACTCACCATCCCCTGATAACGCTTAATGTCTCTGGCAAAGTACGTACCATACTTACGTCGCAATGTCTTATCTCGCGCCACGAGGCGCTGCTTATAAACCCTGTGATGACATTGGTGCGAGTGCGTGCCAAAGAATGATGAAGATTACTTTCGAATAAAGTCGAAACTATATCGTTAAAAATGAACATAAGTTTTTACAATATTTTAAAAGTATTTGTCATACTGATAAATATGAAAAAAGTACTACATGCATTGCTCATTGGGTCAGTATATGTTTGCAGGGTATCTGTTTAATTCATGTTTCCATGCCAACTGCATGGAACTGCTTTATTCAGTTTAAAGGGTGAAATATGACAGTGAAATTACAGGCTATGAAGATATAACATCTTAGCACTTAGGGGTGGCAACTCATAGCAGGTATCATGGGTGTGACAGTGTATTCTATGAGCTCCTATAATGTCGATGGTGCTGTTCAGGTTTATAGGCGACAGTGACCGCTTTTAATCAGGTGGGACGCCACCTAGTTTGCCATTTGAGTTGCATAAAAAAAAATTATAATGTTTTTACTATTTGACAGGTTCTGAAGGCGAGTTCAAACTGCTAGAACCGGAAAAAGTGGCAGCTCTATGGGGAGCCCGGAAGCACAAGCCCGCCATGAACTACGAAAAGCTCTCGCGCGCTCTGCGGTATTACTACGATGGGGATATGATCGCCAAGGTGGCCGGCAAGAGGTACAAAGATCACTTGTTATTATAATAATTAATCTTTTGCTCAGGTATTTACTCCATACAAGTTATTTTTAAATATATATAGCTTTTGCCCACAACTTCGCACGATGGATGCTGAAAACAAATATCCAATTCTGGATGACGTATCAAAATAAAACATACACCACATTTTAAGTAAGACCTTCAAAAACACAACTGTAATGTTTGAATGAACAGATAAAAATTGTAAAAAATATTATCTGTTACTCTTACTATACCATAACATATATACATATCGGTCACGCTTGTCTTCCATTAAGGTAAGCAGAAACAATGGAACGCCAAATGTTTCCATACAATGTCAGCCATTAATTGTCCTTTGCTGAACATAAGCCTCCCTCTATTGAAGGGTTTTGCCAGTAGTTGCCACACTTAACAGCTGGGTTGGCAACCGTATTTTGCCCTTGGAGATGTTTTAAGAGGAATGCTGCTGCCCATCCCTCAACCGATAAGTTCCCTTAGTTGGTTCTTACTACATCCATGGGAGAGGAAGGAGTGGCCTATTCTATGCTGGCACTGTTGCTCATATTAAGACATAATTATTTAAAAAAAAATATATGATGGCAAATATATTTTTTTTTTCTTAAATATCTCTTATGTAAGTACAGACGACTCATACTTAGTGTCCATAATACAAGCTCCGCTTAGTTTGGGACTAGATGTTGAATCATCAGAGGGCTAGATTCTCATTGTAGCAAGCGTAAGAAAAAAAGACAAGCTTTGTTTGGGACTAGATGATGTTGAATCATCTCTGTACAAAACTGTTCCATTCGTCTTTCTACCGTGAAACAGTTGCATGGTCGTGTTTCGGTTTGGATATGACAGTAAATTTACAAGGTACCAAGGAGTAACACCTTTGTCCTCAGGAATGGTAACGCATGGAGGGTATCATGGGCGAAATAGTATACTCTGTTATATCCATGGTGCTGTTCATGTCTATGGACGACGGTTACCACTTTCCATCAGCCGCCAGCTTTTCATGAGCCGACAGCTTGTTTGCTATTCTAAATTGCATAGAAAAAATGTTATTTTGTATTGTATGTATGCAAAGGATTTTGTTAATACATGGAAGTATTTATCACAATATAATATTATTATTACTGTGGGCAGGTTCGTCTACAAATTCGTATGCGATCTTCGGCAGCTGCTCGGTTACGGAGCCGGTGAACTGGCAGAACTCGTGCAAGAGCTCCATGATGAAGAGGCGGCGGAATCGCACTGACCACGTTATAAACATGATGCATAACATCACATGACTAAGAATAACGTCCAACGTTTTTAATGTTGCTAATTATTGACCAACCAACCAGAGATGTAAAAATTATGACCATAAATGTGGTGCAGACAGTTTTGTAATTTAATCAAGTGGCAAGTCGTTTAATAAATAAGTGGTCGTTACGTTACAAAAAGCTTAACTGTAAAATAAATTTTTGACAATTCATAACTGCCATATTTGTTTTATACTGATGCAGCTTGTAGTACTCGCGAATTTAAGACTGATCTCTGACTAAAATTTTGTTTTTATGTTTAGCTGCTTAATCGCCACTCGTGTAAATTACAAAACCGATACAAATAATAATTATCAGAATCGCAACGTCTTTAAGCTTTGTCGAATATTTAATAATAAAAAAGTTTATTTCATCTCCACAAATAGCAGAAAATGTACAAAGTACGTAAATATGTATGTTTATACAAAAATATTGTAACTCGTGGAATATATATTTGCGACAAATATTTGCGGCAGGGAGAGAGGGGCGGGGAGTGTTTACTTGTATAGTAAAAGATAGCATTATTACTTGTACTATGCTTACATAAAAAAAAAAACAAGTCGAATGTATTATTCCTACAGTGAAGAAGCACTAGATATGTTATTCATTTTGAAGTTTATATTAAAGAAGTTTAATTTACTCCTTAAGATTGACAACTCATGTCTAACATTTGTAGTTATACATTATATGTACTAAATGTGTTTTTTCTTTGAATCTTATAATAACAAGAGAAAAAATTACAATTTGTGATAATGTTATCTCACCACATTCCTCACGTAAATCTGTTCTAAGAATATAGTTTCGTTAGTAGAGATGAATTGTCGAGCATTTTAAAAAAATCGGTGATTTGGTGGTGTATCAGTAGACTTGGAATATTAGTTTCCCATCTACATTTTGTCCGCCTAACCCCACAAGGGATCTGATGTTAATATAAAAAGATAGCTAGAAAGTTTGCTTATATTGTAAAAGATCGAGCTACTGAACAGATGGGTGATATGTAAATAACAGTGAATTATTAATAAGGCTATTATGAATAAATATAGTTTATTACTTGTTTTTCATTATTGTGTTTTAATTGTAATGCCCAAAAATCCTTCAACTGTCAATAAAACAAGTCTCTTATATTGGTGTTATGAAATGACAATTATTAACCCTTAAATACCTGAAGTTTCAAATTTGATACCGGGGTTATAAATCGCATTGGGTGCCTATAATCGATTTTATTTTAATATTTGGCTGTTTACATGTTACCAAATGTTTTTTTTTTTTTTCAAAATAAATATATAAAAATATCGTTTTAATTTTTTTTTTTTACTATTTTTCCCCATTAGTAAACACAGTAAAAGTATAAGTGTAATTTGATTTAAAAAATCAGGCTTTTAAGGGTTAATATATGTGTAGTATAATAATATATATTTCATATATATTAATATAATAATATATGTATTATAGATAAATATATATTATTATAATAAGATTAATATAGTTATAATGGGTAATTTTTGGCACCGATTTAAATAAATAACCTCTAACGTCGAAACTGCCTCCATCTGAGGGATTTCATACAAAAAGCCAATTTTTTTAGCAACTTAGAATGGCATGCCCACCTGATCGAAAGTGGTAACCGTCGCCTATAGACATGAGCAGTACCCTGGACATAACAGAGTATACTGTTTCGCCTATGATACCGTCCCATGCATTTCTGAGGATTTCGGGTATTATTCCTCTGTACCCTGTAAATTCACTGCCATATCCCAACCTTTAAACCGAAACACAGCCATGCAAACACAACTGCTTCATGGTAGAAACTCGAATGGTACAGAGATGTCCAAGCTAACGACTTTTGTACAAAGTTCCGTCGACTCATCGGTTTTTGTCACAACAAGCAGTTTCATTAGCCATCTTTTCAATGGAAAAGATAACGTTAACCATTGAACAGTGCTGCAATATTTGTCTCAAATTAAGGGTGCTTGGGGAGTCCTATGTTTAGCAGTGGACAGATAATGCCTGAAATAATGGTGATGAAGGGTGCTTGATCTTGCCGTACAGAAATGTACAATTTGTAGTCCTCAAAAATAATCAATGATACAATATTAGTATATTATTAATAATAATAATAATTTATTTCAAAATAAATGTTACATTTTAAATATAGGTAAAACTCTGCTCCCTAAATAGGTAAATCCTGTACTTTAGGATAAGCAGATTTGAAAATTGTATGATTTTAAAATAAACTGTCCAAATTAGCTTTGACGGTTTTCCCTCAATATCAAGTAATTTATTAATAGGTAAATATGTTGTCGTTATGTAATTAAACAAACAGCAGCATCGGTGTATCGGATGAATGTTGAGAAAAATATATCTACCGATATAAATTTGCCTGCTATTTATCAGGGCTGATATCAATTCCAATTTACTTTCAGGTGATATCTATAAAAGGGTCTTTTATGAGTTCCTTTTTTGAAAATATTTGTCATAATACATAAAGCGTTTAAAGAAATCTAATTTTTGTATTGATACTTCAATTAACCATAAATATTAAAAATAAACGTCGATTATGTTTTATTTACTTTCAAAAATAGACTTTTAATTTGAAAGACCCGATTTGCTCTAGGGTATTTGCGGAATATTAGACGAATAACACACATGATTTGTGTAAAAGCATATTTTATTTTTTTTATCTTATCAACGATCATTACATCAAGTTATTCACAGCTTTGGTCTATTTAGAGCGTACAATTCAAAATATAATTTGTCATAAGGTAAAATATTTTTTTCTCTAAAAAAATATGAACAAAAACAATATACTTTATAAACTTTTTATAAAAGAAAACAAAATTACCCGTTTGCTCGACAAGCAAACCTGGGGTTATCATAATGAAAAAATGCACGCTCTAGCAATGTTCAAAATATATCTACCTTCCCGCATGCCTTAACATTTATCTTAACTCTATGGTAAATAATAGTAAATATACGAAAAAAACCTTAAAAAAAAAAGAAAAACTAGCGATCCACCTACACGACGTGTGCGTACGAATTATATGGTTGTACTCGGATTTGTCGGACGACAAGGAATCGCAATCAAAGACTGGTTGTTGTTATTTCAGTTGGATAACTTTTAATAATTCAGTTGGAAATAATTTAGACGATGTCACGGACTCAGTTTTTATCTCTTACTTACTAATATTGTAGAGATAAAATCTGTTTTTGAACATGATCCGTACATACAAATTTTGGTACTGTTGACCCAATTCTATACTCCGTATGTTGTAGCATGGTGCATATCACAGGTGATATTCTGACAATTTTTACTATAAAGAAATTCAATTAAGTAAAATTTTTGAGGTCAATGTGTAATAATAATATAAGCAATATTTTTATTAGTGAAATGCATTTTAATGATTTTTTTAACCACACCTTGCTGCAACTTACGAAAATGACCCTGAATATTTATTTTAAACTCACAAACGATTTTGACTTTTCAGGGCGACTTTTCTTAGCTTATTTACAGATTATTTTTAAACCTATACCAATATAAATAAATCAATATAATCATATTATTAAAATAAAAGTATATAAAAATTATCTTTTGTAAAGAAACATTAGAGAATGATATAAAAGTTTTTGAGTTCACTGGAAATTATAATATAAACAATTACGAACAATATTATACAATTTATGATTGCACAAAATACTAGCATATTATTGTATTATAATTAGAAAAAAAAATTTCGGCACCTCACCTTCAAACGTCAATTCAAAGTTACCCAACATCATTACAATGGTGGTAATTTTTCTAAACTTAATTATAAACGACTTTAAAACAATCGCGCTGTCCTATTCATACCTTCGCGGCTAAAAAAGAACGTTAGTCGCAATAATAATATCCAAAATCATCACCAGAGTAGTAAATCAGATTATCTTTGAATAAAAATTTTAAGCAATTCCCTAATCATCTGACAGTTCGAGACATGCAATGTGTACTATTTCAGTGAAATATTAACTCTGATGTTAAAAGACACTGACAACGATGTAAGTACGAAATAACTGTATTGCTTGTTGGCTCTTAAAGCCTCGTTTATTGAAAGATTGCGTTTAGGGCGCAGCTGACTTAAGGCACAAAACTACTATAAGAAGATCCAAATGACATACAGGTATATAAAGACGAATAAATTAAACAAAAACAAATTTAATGTTGATTTATCAAATGTAGCTTACTAGTATGAAAAATGTATATATACCAGATAAATTGCACATAAATATTTACAATATTTGAATTTTGATGCAGATATTCCCTTGTTCCGTTCCATTAAAGACGTCTAGAGCGAGATCTGTCATTAAAATACCCTACTAATATCAATCTCCTGCTAATGGCATAGTAGTAACCACGTTATACTGCGTAAATGATTCCTAAGTTCGATTTTAGTAAAATAAAAAAATAGTACATTTAAAAATGTTTAAACATGTTGCGTTGTCTAATTACTTGCAGAACTAATTAAATGCAAATTCGTTCTAAACAAGATAACATCCATAAGAAGGAACAAGACACCAAATGTCGCCGTCACTTTCTATTTCATGTATACGACAACGAAGTACCTATGTATAGATTTATTTGCCATTTGTTTAGACGACTGTCATCTTACATTTGGATCTTCTATCTTATAGATCGTAGTCAGTGAATATGTTAGAAAATATTTTAATTTTTCAATATTTACGAGTGCTATGTAGTGTGCAGTACACTTTACATGTCTCGGTCATATTTTTTACATAATCTATCAAGAAATGCAGACAATTCGGAAAAAAAATACAGCACCAAAAAGTAACTGAGGAGTTAGCCCAACAAGCCCACCTCCCTCTCACAATATTCTCGTTGAAGACTTAACTTTAATGATTTAAAAACTAAATGACTTTAAATCCGTCGGCCGTTTGTACATCGACGGCGGGTCGTTTAAAACAAGTGCACTATTATAATAATAATAATAATAAAGAAATAAAATTATAATAACAAAGCTATGAAGATTATATAAATTTTCCCTTGATACTTAAATAATGTTTTACTCTTAAAAACATATAAACATAATTTTATAATACGTACAGCTTTTATTCCAAACTCGCTATTTTCTATGTTGTAAAATTCCATATTGACTTTGCATAAATTATAATACAATTAAAAAAAAAAATACTCCGTGCCTTGTAGAATGGCGACAGCACATTTTGTCAGTTACTACTATAAAAGAACTGGATTCGAGTAAAATTAATGATCATAATAATTTAAGTCACTAATAGCCCGCACCGTACTACATGGAGTATAATAACGCAAATTCCTCTATTATTAATTTTTCTATCTCATTTACACTTCAGCATTCCGAGAAATAATCGTAAATAAATTATTAGTTATTGTACCCAACTCCCAAAAAGGTTTTCCTTTTTTTAAATGTATATATTATTCTAAATCTTTTAAATATATAATCGGGACTTAACGCGATGTAAAAGCCTTTTACAGGTAAATAGTACCTGCTTCTTTATTGCTGATGTTTCGAAGTGGATTGCACCACGTCCTGGTGCGATCCACGTCGATAGGGCTGAAGTGAGCGGCGTCTTCGTATTGGCAGCTCGCACAATCTCTTCGGGTACCCTAACACTGTTACCGTTATTATCTAGAGCTATCCTATACACCGTACTCACTGTATCAAGTTGTCGTGTATTTTTAGTAAATTAATCACTGGTCTCCCCGTTCTGATTAAAGCCTACTATATCCATCTTCTTAATTTAACATTGACAATAAAGAAGCAATGTAGGTACTACTTACCTATAAAGGCTTTCATATCACGTTAAGTCCAGATTGTGCATTTAAAATATATGTAAACAACGCGAAAGTTTAAAATTAACTATGTCCAAATCGAAAACGGAATTTTTAGATTAAATAGTTTAACGGACTATAGTAAATAGAATAGTTTGTAATTATAATTAATATAGTTTACATAATTACAGTATAAATATAGCAGATAAAAACGTGGAAAATATAAAACATAACATAAAGGACTCCAGCTATAAAGTTGTC